TACCCTAGACACTCCCCTTACACTACCCTAGACACTCCCTTTACACTACCCTAGACACTCCCCTTACACTACCCTAGACACTCCCTTACACTACCATAGACACTCCCCTTACACTACTCTAGACACTCCCTTACACTACCCTAGACACTCCCCTTACACTACCCTAGACACTCCCTTACACTACCCTAGACACTCCCCTTACACTACCCTAGACACGCCCCTTACACTACCCTAGACACTCCCCTTACACTACCCTAGACACGCCCCTTACACTACCCTAGACACTCCCTTTACACTACCCTAGACACTCCCCTTACACTACCCTAGACACTCCCTTACACTACCATAGACACTCCCCTTACACTACCATAGACACTCCCCTTACACTACCCTAGACACTCCCCTTACACTACCATAGACACTCCCCTTACACTACCCTAGACACTCCCTTACACTACCATAGACACTCCCCTTACACTACCATAGACACTCCCTTACACTACCCTAGACACGCCCCTTACACTACCCTAGACACTCCCCTTACACTACCATAGACACTCCCTTACACTACCCTAGACACGCCCTTACACTACTCTAGACACTCCCTTACACTACCCTAGACACTCCCCTTACACTACCCTAGACACTCCCTTACACTACCCTAGACACTCCCCTTACACGACCCTAGACACTCCCCTTACACGACCCTAGACACTCCCTTACACTACCCTAGACACTCCCTTACACTACCCTAGACACGCCCCTTACACTACCCTAGACACGCCCCTTACACTACCCTAGACACTCCCTTACACTACCCTAGACACTCCCCTTACACTACCCTAGACACTCCCTTACACTACCCTAGACACTCCCCTTACACTACCCTAGACACTCCCCTACACTACCATAGACACGCCCCTTACACTACTCTAGACACTCCCTTACACTACCCTAGACACGCCCCTTACACTACCCTAGACACTCCCCTTACACTACCATAGACACTCCCCTTACACTACCCTAGACACTCCCTTACACTACCCTAGACACTCCCTTACACTACCCTAGACACGCCCCTTACACTACCCTAGACACGCCCCTTACACTACCCTAGACACGCCCCTTACACTACCCTAGACACTCCCTTTACCCTGCCTTATAAGTTCCCTTCCTGTGGTCCCTTTGGTCCTTCTCCAGTCATTCACATAGATGAATGAACTAAGGGCCCAAGGTTTTTTGGGGGGGAGGACAAGGTTGGAGGCAGCGTTTCCCTGTATTGTTTTGGAGGCTGTCCTGGAACTCACTCTGTAGACCAGGCTGGCCTCGAACTCAGAGATCCGCCTGCCTCTGCCTCCCGAGGGCCGGGATTAAAGGTGTGCGCCACCAATGCTAAGGTCCCAAGTTAATGCAGCAAAAGAATCTTTGCTTTTGCATCCGAATGGGTCTCTTGGTGATTTGGGGGGTTCAAAACCTGGGCACAACACCCCATACCCAACTCTGGTGGGCCATGGCTTTCTTCTCCGTTTATTACTAGCTGTTGTGGAATTTGATATGCAGAATAGGCTGACTTCAAACACAAAGTGGTCTGGCCGCCTTTCAATTAACGGTGTGTGCACTCACTGAGTGGTGATAGATTAAAGCGTGTAAGAACAGCCAGAGTTATTACACAAGAAAACCTATCTCAAAAAATCAAAACACAAAGTTGTCAGAGACAGCTGACCCAAGCTCATAGGAGATCTGGACCAACATCTGGAGATACTTCATGGGACTGAACTAGGCCTTCTGCATGTGGGTTACAGTTCTGTGTTTTGGTCTATTTGTGGGGCCCCTAGCAGTAGTGGTACATGATCTGGCTTTTTAGAGCCCATTCCCTATGGTAGTGTTGTGCCCAAATTCTGAATCCTAAAATCACCAAGAGGCCCATTTTGATGCAAAAGCAAAGAGTCTTTTATTGTAGATGTTTAACGAGCTAACCCCATTAGCTTGGGCCCTTCACCCTGCCACCAAGGCAGATGGCTGGAGAAAGACCCCAAGCAACCTCAAGACAGGGACCTTAAAGGGCAGCATAAGGGGAGTGTCTAGGGGTATGCTACAGTCTCAGGATTGGTGCACTTCCAGGTTTGGGTGACCTGCCCTGTGTTGATTGGTCAACTGGTTGTTATGGCCCATAGGCCCTCCCAGGGGGGGTTGCTCTGTTCTGCACGTCACTGTTGTGCACTGTCCCGTCACTGTTGTGCACTGTCCCGTAAAGCACACCCAGAGCCGTAAAGCACAGCCCCACCAGCTAACTTCAGATTGGTTCCTTGTTACGAGGGCATCTGACCTCCTAGTGACCAGGACAGGAGCAGCAAGGTCATGTTAGCCTGTAATGGCTGCTAAAATGGGGGACTGGTCACTACAGTAGGATGCCTTGCTCAACCTTGATGCAGGGGGGAGGGACTTGGTCCTGCAGTGCATCTTTGACTCCCCACTGGAGGCCTTACCCTCCCTTCCTGAAAATGCAGGGTGAGGTGGAGGGAGCAGGAGAAGGGGAGGGAGAGGGAACAGTGGTTGGTATGTAAAGTGAAAAAATTTAAAATAAACCAAAATGTACACTATGTTCTGCTTCAGATTTACTTTTCTTATTTGTTTATTTTTCAGAGCATGGTAGCCTATGCCTTTAACCCCAGCACTTGGGAGGCAAAAAACGGGATCTCTGGGTTGAAGGCCAGCTTGGTCTGCAGAGCAAGTTCTAGTACAAGAGCTAGACAGAGAAACACTGTCTTGAAAAATAACAACAACGAAAACAGATTTTGTTTTGTTTTTCAGACAGGTTTCTCTGTGTAGCCCTTGCTATCTTGGAACTTCATCTATAGATCAGGCTGGCCTCAAACTCAGAGATCCACCTGCTTCTGCCTCCTGAGTGCTGGGATTTTAGAGGCATTGGCTACCACTGCCCAGCCCAAAAATTTTTTTTAAAAATATCTATGTGTATTTGTATATTTGCCATGTCCTATGCATGTTTCCAAAGAGGCCAGAAGAGGGAATCAAAACCTGCAGAAATGTAGTTATAGACAGTTGGAAGACACCCAATATGGGTGCTTGAATTAAACTTGAGTCCTCTAGAAGAGAAGAAAGCCCTCTGCTGAGCAATCTCTCCAGGCCCTCTTCTGTACATTTTTTGATGATCCTTTTCCCTTCACATGGAATGTTCTTACCGATGGTCTTCACCCAATGAAAATCTCCTTTTGGATCTAATTCAAACACCCCTCACCCAAGCTTCACTGGTATCCCCCCCCCCACACACACACACACTGGTGTTCTTGAAGCACTGTGTTACCCTGTAGTAGTAATTTCAGTGTCCATGGCTCCTAGTAGATAGCAAGTGCTTGAAAAGCAGGGCCTCCAAATATATCACTGGCTCTCCAGTACTTAATACAATGCCCAGCACCTGCTAGAAAGAATACAAATGTTTAGCCAGTGAATTAATTATTTGAAGGGCATGGAGTGGCTCCTCCTGTTCAAGAGGCCTGCTAAAGACTGCATAACTTTCTGTTGGCAAGACCTGCATCCTTGTATCTTCATGGTCACCTTATTCCTGGTACTTAGTGTCTAAATCTTTAAGACATGCCTAGATAATTGTTTCAATCATATGTATTACCTCAAAGAATAAAGGGGGCAGGATGTCGGGAGCCGAATATAGTATGGGCCTCAGCTCAATTTCAGGAGCTCGAATCTCCTATTGTATTTGGTTTTGTATTCAGATGGCCTGGCCACAGTGGAGAACGACTTCTAGTTTGTATAACAATAGACCTAAGCCACACGCCCAGCATGAGGGCTGGTGGGACTTGCCTGAAGACTGGTGAGACTTGCCATTACAGAAAGTCTGAGGGCTTGTGTACATGCATTCTAGGACCATCTCTAGGGTTACAGGAAGTGTTTCCTAGTCAGTGCTATATACATGATAATAGATGTCTTCTGCCAGTACCCCAGCATTTAGAAAGCTATTTTAAGAGGATGCTTGAATAAACTGGTGTCTCCAGTATGGACTGAGAGCCCTCCTGAAATGACAAGATGGGTAGCTAGTATTTCCCTGATCCACACTCCCCCAGTCAGGGTTAGACCCAAGACTGTTTGGCTGGTTCTGAACACAGCCCTAAAGACATCAATCAGTCCAAAGTAGATGGCCCCTACAGCTTAGGACTGATACAGGCCAGACCCCAGAAGCAGGAAACAGCTTTTTAAAATAACACTAAATCCTTTCTGTCTTTTTTTCTTTGTTTGTTTTTGAGACAACTCTGGCTGGCCTAGAACTGGCTTTGTAGACCAGACTAGCTAGCCTCTGCCTTGTGAGTGCTGAGATTAAAGGTGTGTGCTACTACAGTCTTTTCTTTTTAAAATTGTTTTGCTCATACATAGTATTGTGCCCAGATTCTGAAACCCAGAATCACCAAGAGACCTGTTGTGATGCAAAAACAAAAAGTCTTTTATTATTGTTTTAAGGGTCTAACTGCATTAACTCAGGCCCTTTGTCCCTTCATCACGGTGAATGGCCTGAGAAGACCCAAAGAAACCACAAGGGGGTGTGACTGGGACGGGACTTATTGGGCAGCGAAAGGGGAGTGTCTAGGGGCCATACAAGAGTCTCATGACTGGTTACTTTCTGGGTTTTGGACGACTTGTCCTGTGTTGATTGGTCAACTGGTTGTTAAGGCCTATCGGCCCTCCCAGGGCGGTTGCTAAGCTCTGCATGTCACTGCTGTGCCACTTGTACCATAAAGCTCCAGAAAACACATCAGCTAACTTCTGATTGGTTCCCTGCCACGTGGGTATCTGACCTCCTAGTGACTGGGAGGAGGGGCAAGGTCAGGCAACTACATGTTGAGCTTTTTCTTCAGCTGTCATGGCTGCTAACACAGGGGGCTGGTCCCTTCAATAGTTTTACACACACACACACACACACACACACACACACACACACACACACACAAAATATACTGATGTCAAGCAAGCTGAGATTCATCCCCAGCCCCGTCTCTTTTATTATTGTGGGGGACAATACATAGAAGCTTCAGCCTAGAAACACGGGCATCCTAGACCAGCGCACTGTCACTAAGTCATTCCAATAGCGTCCACACCCCACTTAAAATTTTTTTAAAGCCGGGCAGTAGTGGCGCACGCCTTTCATCCCAGCGCTTGGGAGATACAGGCAGGTGGATCTCTGTGAGTTTGAGGCCAGCCTGGTCTACAGAGCGAGTTCCAGGACAGCAGCAACAAAACACAAAGAAAGAAAGAGAAGGAGGAGAAAGGGGAGGAGAGAAAGTAAACTCAGGTCCAACCTTTCCACTTTAGAATCACCTGACTTTTCTTATATATTCAAAGCTTAATTTTACATTGTGCAAAGTGTTTTATTTAGATAAGGTATTTAAATAGCAATTATCACTGTTGTAAGCAGGAAATTACTATCACTTGGCATTAAATAGAAGTCGCTAACTGAAACGTGTATGACTATGAAGATTATTAAATTCCAGCTGCGTATAATTTTTGCCTACTGTAGCTTTAGAAGGGTATTAGTGAGCACTCTCTCCAAACAAAATAAAGCCTCTTTGACAAAATTCAAATGTAATCAAAAGGAATAACTCCCCACCTAAGATTTAATGTCATTTAATGATATGTCCCTGTAAAAACTGAACTTGTCTTCTTCCAGGAGAAATCTTGCAGAATCCAAGTCTTCCACCTCCCTCCAGACCTTAGAGCCTCCTAAGGTCTCCTCCTCTAACCTTAAACAAAAGAACAGATTTCCTTGTCTGACAAGTAATCAAAGCCTTAGGCTTTGTGGGCTCAGAAAAGTAGTTTCTAAAGTCTACCAACTCTCAAAGTGGCTAATCCCTGAATGCCAAGGCCACTTTGTTCCCCTACAAGGGTTAAGAAAGCCACTAGAAAGAACACTGACAATAAAAGGGTAATGTTGGTAATTTTCCCTCCAAGGCACTTTCTTGGCAAAGGCCTTAGTAGACATTTAAACGGCTGAGATCTGATTCCTATTAGAAAGGGTGACTTTTCCTCGCTCCCCTTGAGGCTGGAAAGTTGTCGGTAGGGTCACACTGCCTGTCTGAATGTGTGGCCTCAGACACAGGCAGTGAAGGGTCAGGCTGCTCCTGAGATAGTTTCTAGCTAGTTGCTGGGAAAGTCTCAATAGTGTCAGCGCTTGAGTTTTTAGGAACCACGTGGGGACCTGAAGAGCGACTTTGACAAGTCTGGCCTAAAGAGGCCTGGGAGTTCTGGGCAGACCCCATTGGCACCACAGGAGCCTTCATGGCCAAAGTATGGCTCTCTGAAACTTTAACAAACTCAGGCTGTGTTTAAGAGGCAGGAGAAGGATTCTGGGACTGGCTTTCTTGGGCTAGAGAGTCCTGCATTTGGCTCTGAGAGGTCACGGGGACCACGGGTAAACTTTCAGAGGAGATAGGCACCAGGAGTTTGCTCTGACTGTCTACTCGTTCCAGAGGGTAGACCCGAGAGGCCACACTGATCTTGGAGCGTCTCTGTGGGTAGGGGTCCACAGGAACATGGCTCTCAGGGGATACAGAGTCCTGGATTTGGCTCTGAAAGGTCACGGGGGCCACAGGTAAACGTTCACAGGAGATAGGCACCAGGAGTTTGCTCTGACTGTCTACTCGTTCCAGAGGGTAGACCCGAGAGGCCACACTGATCTTGGAGCGTCTCTGTGGGTCGGGGTCCACAGGAGCATGGCTCTCGGGGGATACAGAGCCCTGCATTTGCCTCTGAGAGGTCATGGGGGCCACAGGTAAACGTTCAAAGGAGATAGGCACCAGGAGGTGGCTCTGACTATCTTCTGGTTTCAGAGGGTAGACCCGAGAGGCCACGCCGATCTTGGAGCTCCTCTGGGGGTCGGGGTCCACAGGCATATGGCTGTCAGAGTACACCCCCATCTGGGAGAAGCTGCCGGAAGTGCCAGACTCCAGAGGGTAGCACTGAGACGTCACCGAAAAGACAGGCTGACTGCTGGAAGTACAAACGGAGGGAGGAGGGTGCAAAGTGACCAGAGGCAGGCTCCTAGAGGCCTGGATCGAGCAGATCTGTAGCTGGTCCAAGACAGACACAGGATTCACCGGATGGAGCCAATTTCTGCCATCTTTGGTCCCGGCATCGCTGTTCTCTTCCAGGGGGCCCGTGTCGGTCGAGCTGAGGATACTGATCCTCTGGAGGACCCTCGGGAGGAGCCGCCGCCGCCGCCGTCGGTGGATCAGCTGGAAGGTGTTGGAGACGCTCCTGAGGCTCAGCGAGAAGCGACGGCTGCCGGAGCGGAGCATCTCGACCTCGCCCGCGTGAGGCGAGATCATCCTCGTGGGGTCATCCGGGAGCGCCTCGATGTTGCCGGTGTACCAGAAGATCCACCACAGAAGGCTGACGAAAATGATGATGGAACCCAGATAGAGCAACATGTCGTAGAACAGCAGGTTAGCGAAGACGCCAGTGAAGAGCACTGACACGCCCACCGCGTCGAAGGCGACGCCCAGCCAGAAGAAGTGTCTGCAGTGTCCCAGGCCCCGGGGCTGCCTCTCAGTCAAGTCCACGCTCTTCCGCGAAAGCTCTGTGTTGCTCAGCATCGTCTACGCAAACCCCGCAAGAGGCCACCAGGACCCGGGCGCAGCCACGGGCGGGCTTGCGGGCCGCTGGGTCCCCATGGCAACGCAAGGGGCAGGGCGGGGCGGGGCGGGGCGGGGCGGGACGTTAGGCGGTGCCTTGCCCCCTCAAGAGAGGAAACAAGAACTGCGCGTGCGCACTGGGACCGGGTGCACCTTCTACGCTTGCGCAGTGCTCGGCCCTCGCCGGCGGTTTGTCCTCCTACCTGTCCCTCTGCCCCTGCTGCATCGCGTAAAATCCGCAGGAGCGAAACTAGCCCTAACTCGAGGCGAGAATCTTCTCGAGCGAGGGCGAGAGCTTGTAGGAAGCGGACCACGAGGACTGTTTTCGTGTTTCTTCCTGCAGCAGCTAGGATGAGTCTCGGCCTCGGGTGCAGTCAGGCGTCCCTGGTTTTCCTTCCCCTGAGAAGTGACTAGATTGGAGTCTGTTTTTAGCTCTGAATTCCCATCTTACCCGGCGACCGTCGATATGCTTGTCCAAGGACCCGGCAGACCCCACCTCTCCAGGTTCTCCCGTCTGCTGTAGCGGTCGGGGTGGGAGAAGAGCTGGCTGGGCACTTGTTTTGTTTTGTGTTTTGCTAGAGATGGATTCTAAGACATCCTAGTACATTTTTAATAGATCTAGGCTTGTAGATCAGACTGCATTTACCTTGACTTCTAGGCACATACCACCAAGAAAACTACTCTTTTTTTTTTTTTTTTTTCGAGACAGGGTTTCTCTGTGGCTTTCGAGCCTGTCCTGGAACTCGCTTGGTAGTCCAGGCTGGTCTCGAACTCACAGAGATCCGCCTGCCTCTGCCTCCTGAGTGCTGGGATTAAAGGCGTGCGCCACCAACGCCCGGCTGAAAACTACTCTTAACACTTTCAGAAGTATAGATCGATAATTAGAAAGGATGTAGTCACTGATAGGTCGCCCATGCTCCGTACTCATGCATGAGCACACGAGCGATATTACTTGGACCCCGTGAGTTGTTGAAATATTTTAAAGGGGTCAGACGTGATAGTACACATTTTTAATCCCTGCACTCGAGAGGCAGAGGCAAGCAGATCTCTGTGAGTTTGAATCCAGTCTGTTCTAATTTGGGAATTCCAGGCCAGCCAGGACTATACTGTGAGATCCTGTCTCTAAGTAAATGAATGGATGAGCAAAAATAAAAATGGACATGAAGGTGAGTAGGGGAAGTTGGGAGGCAGATGTGATCAAGATATACAGTATAAAAATGTCAAATAGTAAAAATAAAATATAGCCGGGCGTTGGTGGCGCACGCCTTTAATCCCAGCACTCCGGAGGCAGAGGCAGGCAGATCTCTGTGAGTTCGAGACCAGCCTGGACTACAAAGCGAGTTCCAGGACAGCCTCCAAAGCCACAGAGAAACCCTGTCTCGAAAAACCAATGAATAAATAAAGTATAAAGATTAGAAAAATGAATGTAGCAAAATATTAATAAGTGTAGAATAGAGATAAAATGAGAGTATAGGTGTTCATTGTTCAGTTCATTCTGTGCTTACGCTTGACATTTTCTCAAAGAGTTGCAGGATTTTAAGTTTTAAATTTAAAAAAAAAGGAATAGCAGGTGGACACGATGGTTCGGCAGTTAAAGGCTTACTCAGCGTTAAGCCTGACAACCTGAACCCAATCCCCAGGACCCACACGGTGGAAAGAGAACTGACCTCCACATGAAAATAGGTTTCTCCTCTTTGGCTGCCAGAGTGCAATCCAAAGGAACCGCCTGATGGTGAAGGGTGCAGCGTCATACCACAGGCCACCGCAAGGGGACGAGCTGGAGTCACCCGTTTTCTCAGATGCTTAGAAACTAACCGGTTTAGCCTGGGGCTCATCTTTGAAGTCCTTGATCTAGTCATTCCAGGAATTAGGCAAGCTTAGGTTTGAGTTTCTGACCTGGGCAAGCTCTTTCACCTCCCTTGGGTTTCATCTCTCCTACTATAAATGAGAGAACAGGTGCTACAGGAAGGCTGTGACGTTGCCATTAAATGATGCCTCTTTCGGGAACTGCGAACAGTTACTTTGTACCAAGGCCTCTCAAACTGTTTCCGTTTGGGGCCCCTGGTGTATGAGAAAATTTCATCTGACTCCAGGTATATAGATGCATAATATATGTACATAAATCACTGATAATTATAAATTTATTTTTATTTGCTTTTTAGAGACAGGGTTTCTCTGTGGCTTTGGAGCCTCTCCTGGCACTCACTCAGTAGACCAGGCTGGCCTCGAACTCACAGAGATCTGCCTGCCTCTGCCTCCCAAGTGCTGGGATTGAAGGTGTGTACCACCACCACCTGTCCTACAAATTTATTTTAAAACAAGTCTTTTGTTGTTGATATTTTATTTTTGAGATGGTCTCATTATAGCCCGGGCTGAACTTGAATTCTCTACGTATCTGAGGATTACCTTGATCTTCCTGCAACCACTTCCAAAGTTCTGGGATTATGAGGATAGCCATCATTCCCTGCTATTTTAAACAATTCTTTTTTGATATGTGTGTGTGTGTATAATATATACATATATATATTTATCATTCATTAGACAAAAACAAATTGGCATGCTAATAAGATGGATGCACATTCTTATTTTTGCATAAAGAATTAATTTTTGGCTAAATATTTTATTCTGTAGGACATAGAGAATCTTCAACATTTTTCAGTTAATCAGTATTTTCATTTTATAATCATTGATGCTGAGAATACAGATGTTCAGAAATATGTAGTACAAAATGGCAGAAATACATTTAGGAGCATTTTGGAAATTTCGTCATAATGCCAAAACAAAATAACATTTTTAAAAATGAAACTGAGGGGGTTGGTGCATGCCTTTAATTCCAGCACTCAGGAGGCAGAGGTAGGTGGATCTTTGAGTTTGAGGCCAGCCTGTCTACAGAGCTAGTTCCAGGACAGCCAGGGCTACACAAAGAAACCCTGTCTCAGAAAAACCAAAAATAAATAAATGTGAAACTAAAGTGAGCAACTCACATTACGTGTATTTGTTTGGGGGGGGTGCATATACCAGGGCTCAATTGTGGAGGTCAGAGGACAACTTGAACGTCTACCATGTGAGTCTGGGGGATCACACAGGTTGTCAGGCTTAGCAGCAAGCAGCTGGCAAGCCATCCCACAGGCCCATACAACAGTGTTTAATCCCAATACTGGGAAGGTGGAAGCAGGCAGATTTCTGAGTCTAAGGCCAGCCTTAACAACATAGGTCAGCCAGGGCTACATAGTGACACCATGTATGTATGTGTGTGTGTCGGGGGGTGTTAAACATTCCAACAGACTAGTAAGAAAATACTAAAAACCTTTATAATTAAACCATTATGTTTCTATAAGAGCAAAAAACTGGATTCAGTAGAGACGCTACACTTCATAACATAGTCATCTCAAATCTGAGGTAAAGTGCTCTAGGCAGCCTTGGAATGTGGTGCTAGTATAACGTCATGCACAGTACAAACTGCACTGGTCCTGAGAATGAAAAACTGCAGAGAAGTGTGACTTAACATGAGTGATGCTTCCAGAAATATCATGGACTCTGCAGACCAGGCTGGCAGAGATCCGATGCCTCTGCCTCCCGAGTGCTGGGATCAAAGGTGTGCGCCGCTACCACCTGTTATCTTGGATTCTTTATGTGCTTAATTTTGAATTAATTTTGGTTGTGTTTTACTGTTGCACATTCAATTATGCGACTGCCTTAGGGTTTCTATTGCTATGAAGAGGCACGGTGACCATAGAAACTCTAATAAAGGAAAACATTTAATTGGGTCTGGCTTGCAGAGGTTTTTGGCATGCAGGCACACACAGTGCTGGAGAAGCTAAGAGTCTACATCTTGATCCTCAGGCAACAGGAGACTGTGCCACACTGGGCATAGCTGGAGCATATGAGAGTTCAAACCCTGCTCCCACAGTGACACTTCCTCCAACAAGGCCACACTTCCTAATAGTGTCACTCCTGGTGGACCAAACATTCAAATGCAAGAGTTTATAAGGGCCATTCCTATTCAAGCCACCACAGTGACCCTACATGGGGTTGTGATTCACAGTTTATACTCAACAGCTGTGGTCTAGGTGGACATGTGGACACACAGCCTGTAATCACAGCATGCAGGATATGAAGGCACAAGGATCAAGAGTTTTAAAAAAAGCATTTGCAAATAGAGCTATATGAAACCCAGTCTTAAAGAACAGTAAACACAAGGGCTGGAGAAATGACTCATATTAAGACACTCTCTTTTGGCTTCTGAGAGCACTGCTTCACATGTTGCATGCATTGACAAAGATACACACACACACACACACACACACACAGTGGGGGAGGGACCGTGTCTCTTCTTAGCATGTCTACATGCATCTGGCTTCTGGCTCCAGATAGACCTTATTTGTTCCTGTGCCCCCACTAATTGATCCTGCTCCAGCAAGTACAAAAGGTGTAGATGGTGTATCACCTCCTGCCAGAAGAGCTGATACCCTGCTATTGCATGGGCTGTGGGAGTTCGCTGATGGCTGTATCTGAAGAGCTCCCAGCAAGTGCAGCTGCTGCACATGATATGGGCATCCGTGTAAACAACAAAAGCCCAACCCATACCCCCTTCTCTATGAAGCGCGTAACTGATTTTTTTAATTGTTGATTTGGAAAAATGGGGCAGAAGGAAAGGAGTCGTGGCGTACACTTTTAATCCCAGCGCTCAGGAGGCAGAGTCAGGCCTCTGTGTGAGGTTCAGGCCAGCCTGATCTACATGGGGTATTCCAGGACAACCTGGGCTATAGAAAGAGAAGCTGATTCAAAAACCGGGTGGAGGGTAGCCCTTGGATGGTAGAGCACATGCCTACTGTGCATGTGATCCTGGGTTCAGTCTTCAAGCAAGAAGACAGAGAAGAAAGACAGGGAGGGAGGGGGAGGCCAGGAAGCAGAGGTCAGCTTGCAGCTGAGCCAAATGTGGCCAGGGGGTAGAGGAAGTAAAGGGCATGGTGGGCTGGCAGAACTGTTTCTTAGGAAAAGGAATATTACGGAAAAATATGCCACCAAACGTTTCCC